TGTTTTAACGAATTCGACGGTGACACGCTGGATGAGCTGCAATACTTGTTTCCTATAGCGCAATTGCATACTTAGCGCCCATGCTCGCCGACCTTCACGAAACCATCACGGATCGGCCTCTTACCTTCTTTCCGTCTCCGCAGGGCTCTCAAAATTATTCTGCACCTTTAACTCCGTGATAAGATCATCGTTTGCTGCAAGCTCGTCTGGGGTCGGTAGAACGGTGGAGATGGGAGGGGTAACTCCCCATTGTCTGACTGGTGGTGCCGCCATACTGAAAGTGTCCAAGTAAGTGAAGTATTACAGAAGCATGCGCTTGCGCCGTCGACCAACAGAAAGCAACTCGGCACAGGAACGGGGTGACAAAGGAACGACTAGAGAAGAAAATGAAGATTTACTGAGACAAAAAGAGATATGTGACCGACGAACCAAAGACGAAAGAAACCAGCGAAAGGAAAGGGAAGAAGGGAGCAGCGCAGAGGGATCGGAGTTGGGAATGAGGAGGCGCTGCCTGGCCGAAAAGAGCAAAGGTTTATCGCCTGCTGACTCAGCCTATCAACGATCACGTGGGGCTGCCAATGGGCATGTAACACTAGGGATGGAGCTGTCTAGACGCCACCAGATGTTTTGATTCTTAGTATATTTCAGTCTGGAGATATGTATGTGTTGTGGCAGCGCGAGAAATGAAAGAGATGTTGACTACAGATAAAGTAACACCAGAAACTCGCTACTACCAAATACTCCGACATTGATGCCGACGATCAACAACCAATCACTTGGCGTGTGTCGATAACACAGTCTCCCGCTTATCAGAGGCAAAAGAGAGGGAAGACAAAGACATGAACAACCTTCAATACTTGTCAAAGAACTCAGCCAGCTGCTCATCCAGCCATTTGACATCGTCTTTGCTTTGACCTGGACCGCCGGCCCAATCTACACCAGGAAGTGTTAGCGTACATTCTCGTTGGTATGACATGGAACACACGTACGTCCCCAGATCGAAGGAAAGACCTTCAGGGTCCCGATTCCCCGCTGCATGAAAGCAACCTCGTATTCCGAGTCTTCCGGCCTGTGGACGGGTGTCAGCGTTAGCCACACCTAAAGGAACGGCACTTACGGGAAGTAAAGGTCCGTCTTGCTGGGTAACACCAGAGTTTTGGCCTTGATGGAGCCCAATGCTTTCTCAAAGTTGCCATTGTATGGCTCCTGCTTGGACACATCACCATTCTGCCATGTTTGCAGCATCGTCAGGAGGTTCCCCGGATCTAAAGCCTATTAGTGACAAACATACATCGTTAAAACACAACACCTCGCTGCTGACCGACCTTTAGAAAGCGCCCAACTTTCCCAGAAGTTCTGCATAAAGTCCTCTAGGTCCTTGAATCCCAAGGCGGTTTCATACAGCTTCTCCCGGTAAAAGGCCTGTGAGAATCCCCTGCACCAGTCACTGCATTAGCAGACCAAACAGTAGACAAACAAAGGTCGGCCTGGCCCTTACCATCCTGCATACCCCCTGCCAAACGCTTTCAAACCAACCTCCTTCTCTGTGTCACTCCAGGTCCGCAAGGATTGCTCAGCCTGAAGGAGGCCGCCATTCCCGGACCCCGCTGATGGGATGTGCTTTGCAGCCAGCAGTGCACTTTTGACGCCCTCCAGGAAGACCTTGTTGTGAAGGGAAGTCTTTGCAGAGCCACAAAAAGGGACCGCCAGGTCCATGAAGTCTGGGTACTGGGTGGCCCATTGGTAGGTTTGGGCTGCTCCCATCGACCACCCGATCACTGCCCGCACATGAGTGATTTTCAAATGCTGTGTCACTAGCTGGTGCTGGGCACGGACATTATCATAGAAAGAGCATTTTGGGAAGGGCCCAGGATGGGCGTAGTTTGATGGAGAAGTCGACTGACCGTTGCCGAACAGCGCAGGGACGATGATGAAGTATTTCTTGGGGTTGAGGGTCTTGTCCTCGCCGATTAGCCAGTAGTTGTCGGAGAGCACTAGAATTAGACTATTGTTAGAAAAAGTAAAGAGCAGTCTACAGACCTCTTGGATCGTATTAAAGAAAGTACATACGTCCAGAGAACCAAGAAGGATAGACAATTGCGGGGGAGGCGGGGTCTCCAAAGGTCTTGTATGCGAGGTGAGCGTCAACAAGCTTCTCTCCACTCTGAAGCTCCCAGTCGCCCAGTTTGAAGGTGTCGTACTCTTCCTGCGACATTTTGGAGTATGCAAGATTACTGAAGGTGAGAGGAAGATAGGTCGCGCACAGGTGCAAGCTGGTGCAGTAATGCGTGAGGGGATGATTGAGGGGATGGCTGGTGCTGATGGGCTTGATCAATGGCGGCTACAGTCGGGCTGGTTAAGTTGCCGTTCCCCCTCCTCTCTTCTGTCTGTCTCTCTGTGCTAATCAAATCTGGGTATCATTATTACCTGCACTTCCTGCTGTTCTTTGCTAGCTTATCACACAGTCTCTTGGAGCGGAGGTGCTTATCGGATGTTATCTACAGAGTATCCTGATAAGCCATCTTCTGGCTCGCTGTCACTCTGGTGCCGTCGTCTTGATCATAGATGCGACTCGCAAGGCCCGGTGCAAGTGTATAATTATTAAAGCCCATAAAGAGATGCTAAGAAGAAGCTAAGTACATACAATAGAGGCTTATGATAGTTGTAGGGTCTGAGTCATTATGGGCTATCTAGGAGGTCTGTCTAACAGTGTCCTGAGCATTACTCGATGCCCATGCACGTTATACTAGTAGACTTCAAAGCTTTGTATTATATGGACATTGAAATTAAAGAGATTGATCTACAAAACAAGATTGAAATACTCATTGAAGGACTATGAGAGAATATCTGCTAGCATCTGCCGGGAGAGCACGACATTCTAGCTAGGTACTAGCCATGCCGGGCTATCACTAGTTAGATAATCGCCCTGCTGTGAGTCATTCATGCAGCACCAAAATAATTTCACCTGTAGACATTTCTAGCCGGGAGAAACATACCATTGATTTCAAATAGTATCTCGTTTTTCCCTTAGTAGATAAAAATAAAAGCTTTCCATTGAATTACGCCCTACCTCGTCTGTACCCACTCCACCATGTCTAGTACCACCAAGAAAGCCCTTCTCCTCGGTGCCGGCTTCGTCTGCGAACCCGTCATCCAAGCCCTCTCCCAAGCAGACGTTCACGTCACCGTCGCCTGTCGCACTCTGCACAGTGCTCAGGCTCTGGCAAGCAACTACAAAAACACAACAGCCATCGCTCTTGACGTCTCCCAGGACGCTGCAGGTCTCAACAACGCCATTACCAAGACAGACATCATCATCTCCCTCATCCCATACATCTACCACGCCACAGTCGTGGAAGCCGCCATCGCGCATCGCAAACCGGTTGTCACCACCAGCTACATCTCCCCGGCACTATGGGCGCTCGATGAAAAGGCCAAATCCGCAGGAGTAACAGTGCTCAACGAGATCGGTCTAGATCCGGGCATCGACCATCTGTACGCTGTCAAGACGATTGACGAAGTACATCGTGCGGGAGGACAGATTCGATCGTTTACAAGCTGGTGTGGTGCGCTTCCTGCTCCTGAGAATGCAGATAATCCGCTGGGGTATAAGTTCTCGTGGAGTCCGCGAGGTGGCCTCCTTGCGTTGTTGAATTCGGCACAATGGTACAAGGATGGGGAGCTGGCTACAGTGGAAGGGAAGGACTTGATGGCTGTTGCAGAGTCACAGAAGATAGCTGAAGGTTTTGATAACCTAGTCGGGTATCCCAATCGGGACGCGGTTGGTTTCCGTGATTTCTATCGTATTCCTGAGGCGGGCACTGTGTTTCGTGGGACTCTGCGCTATGCTGGGTTTCCAGAGATTATCCGTGCCTTGGTGGCTATTGGGTACTTCTCGCAGGATGAGGTTCCTGCGTTGAATGTGTCATCGTCCTCTGCAGTTACCTGGTTGCAGTTGACTGCACAATTACTAGGTCTTCCGGCCGACTCCTCAGAAGAAACTGTGCAGGATGCGGTGACGGAGAGAATTACTTCTTTTCTGTCGACCGAAGAAACTAGTCGCGTTGTGTCCGGCCTTCGTTGGATCGGTCTGTTCGATGCCAGTGTTCCTGTGAATGGACGTGACACGCCTCTTGACACGCTGTGTGCGGTATTGGAGCAGCGGATGGCCTACGAGCCAGGCGAGAGGGACATGATCATCTTACAGCACGCATTCGACATTGAGTGCGCGGATGGTTCCAAGGAAAAAAGAACAAGCACGCTTGTCGAGTACGGAGAGCCAACTGCTCCCGGGTCTCGCAGTGCTATGGCGAAGCTGGTGGGATTACCCTGTGCAGTGGGTGTATTGGCGGTGCTGGAGGGTCGGATCTCGCAGAAGGGGATGGTAGCACCGTGGACGACAGTTGAGATTGCGCGTTTACTGCGGGAGGAACTAAGTGAGCGGTTTGGGATTGAGTTGGAGGAGAAGGTAGTCGGATAGTTTGAATTTGATCGTCGGATGTGCGACAGCTAGCAGATTCTGTAGTCTAGATTGATCGCAAAGATACTGCAGGCAATACATTTTATTGATTCCTTTTTATCAATACTCTTTACACGGATTGGGCCATCATACGTGAACTTTCATTCAAGCGCAAGGGCCGCAAGCATGGATAAACTGTGCTGTCAGGGCCAGTTTCCTGACAGGAAAAGCAAGCGTCCACCACAACAATGGCGCTTCGCCAGAAGAGCCAATGGGACCGCCATGTCCTCTGCCAATTATTTTCTAACTGGCAACATTTGTAATGTCAAATCCACCAGCCCGTAAGATCAACATGATCAGCCCGTCGAGAGAATGGTATTGTGATCCAGCGGGCGTCTCTCATGTCGTGGTAAGGCCTGTGCTTTTCTTCCCGCCGGGCTCGGGCAACAATTCGACATGGGGGTGAGAGGCAACGCCCCCAAGCTTACTGCAGGCACACCTGCTGCAAGAATGTTTCACAGTGGTTCAGATGCAGCTTCCAGAGGCATGTAAGCAGCTGGGCTGACTGTTAAGCGGATCCCCGCACGGCTACCATCCGTCAATGGAACTGGGGAATGACTGGCCCTATCCATCCCTTATCCCCTTCTTCCCCATCAGTCAACCATCAAGAGTCGGTCTGCAATCTCCTATTTGGGCCGTCAAAGCGGTGGCCATTGCTCGGACTGTCCTTTCCTCCGTCTTGACTATCCACTGGGTAATTTCTTCACTGATCTAATCGACTAGTTTGTGGAGCAGGACGACTGCTGCTAAAGGATAGTCATACGCGCCAAGTCACGCCCTAGCCGGTCTCATTTCACACCATGACCAGCTGCCATTTTCATAACAGGATAATCAAAGAACTCTCAGCATGGGTGGAAGTCAGAACGAACAGAGTCGAGTCACTATGGATTTACGCATAATTATAGATCTTCCCCGCACACGAGGTATGTCCAGCCTGCATGCTATCTGTGGCTGAGCACCTCAGCCAGAAAAGCGAGAAGATCGCCGCACGAGAACTGCTCCGTGGCAGGAAATGAGACCGGACGCTACTAAACAAGCGCGATGATCCACGGCTCACGCCATTCGTCCAATCACTTTAGAACCTGCACACCATCAGCCACCGGCGTGTGTTCAATGGTGATGGTGGTTGCAGGCTGATGCATGAGCACCCGTTCTATATTTGTCCTCCTTTTTT